TGAGCGCTGTGGACGTGGGCCGGGTGTCGCGCGAGGGCGATGTGGCTGCCCTGCAGGAGCACCTGGGCCACGTCACCTTCTGCAGCGCCGAGCAGGAGCGCTGCCCCCACTGCCAGGGCCCTGCTGACCCACTACTGCTCAAGCTGCTGCGCCTGGCCCAGCTCTGCACCGAGTACCTGCTACACTCGCAGGAGTACCTCAGTGCCCAGCTCAGCAGCCTGGAGGAGGCCCTACAGGCAGCACAGGCACAGCGCGACCAGCTGGGCCAAGAGTTGGCCCGTGGCTCCCAGGAGATCAAGGGGCTCAAGGAGGAGTGCCGTCGGAGGAAGAAGATGATCAGCACCCAGCAAATGATGCTGGAGGCCCGAGCCAGCTACCACCAGGTGAGAAGAGAGGTCCTGGCAGCCTGGTCACGTGCATGCCTTGGCCTTGCCAGCTCTGTGCCTGCTGAGGATGAGTGGCAGAGCAGCCCCTCTCTTCAGGGGCGTGGTTGCCTGCTGGGCAAGAGGTTTGTGCTGCAGAGACGGGACATCCCGAAAAGGGGGTGTGTCACTTGTAGGTGCTTTGCTTCACTTCTGTGTTTCACAAGCCTTTGGCTGCTGTGTCAAACTTTTGAGAGAATGCTACATCTGATTTTACAAATCCTCTGTTTACTAACAGCTGTTCTATAGATGCGCATCTGTTTAGATGCGTCTAAAGTGTCCAATATGTGCACGTACATACACAACCTGTGATAAATGTGTTATCATTTTCTGTTGCTGTCTTTTGTTGTCTATTTACCGCATGGTCAGAAAACATACATGGCAAAAGCAGCAGAATTGGTGAGGAGCAGTAACCTGTTTGTATGCCTGTCTTCGCTTTCATGCAGTATTCTTCCCCAGGCACCAAGCTTCTGCCTCTGTGCCTGACTTAGAAGTGACTCAGGTAATGAGCACTGGAGGGTTATCTCATCCCTAACTCCACAACAATCTGTTCCTTAAGCATCTTCCCTGAGAGGCTTAGCCCATTGGTGTCCTGACTCGTTGTGTCATGACACTCTTTGGTTTGTTCTTTTTTTTATTTTATTTTATCTGGATATAGTAGTTTGATTTAAAGATTTCTCAGCTTCAGCATTTCTTAGCAGGTGTTTCAGGAATGGATAATTCAGCTTCAAATGTCTGAAATCTGAAAAGCATACTGGACGCAGACTTGACACAGTATTTCAGGCCAGCTTTGTGTCTTTGTGTCTGTAAGTCGAAAGTCATTTTTTGTTTGTTTTTGGTAGTTAGCAGCCCTGATTGCCAAAGTTCTTCTTAATCATTGAATAGTTACAGCATAAAACCAATGCAGGTTTTCTATATATAACCCTATACCCACAGTATAACATGGATGTCAGCAGACTCGCAAAGTCTTGCTATTAAGACATTCTGAGCAAAGATACCTCCCTCAGCCGCTTCCATTGTCCCATAAGAAAACAGTATCTCCCTTCTCTGCCAGAAAAGCTATATATTTAAAAACAAGTTAAGGCAGTCGTTGTATTGGAGGCTCTTAGAGATGTCTGCACAGCTACTTCCAAGAGCAATAGAGCTGCATGAACTGTGGGAAGCAGAGCTGCTTAGAGAGAGCTGGATTTTTTGCAACTTTGTGCTTGCAGTAAACGAGTTGACTCAAGTGTTTCTGTAAGGAAATACATAACCTTCTGCCTCCCGTGTAGAGCTGTACATATGGTAGGCTTCATAGGAACCCTGTCTTAATGTATGCATTGGAGTGTTAAGAGTCAGGACAAAAGGGCTTAATGTGGCTTCATTTTAAAGAACCTTTATACATCTTACGGAGCAGTGTGTGTATCCTGTGTTGCAAACTGATCACCTGCATTATTTTACTTGTAAACTTAAATAATTCCCATATTGTGGTAGCCAGCTAAATATTACAAGGCTTTGCCAAAGTAGTTGTGGGCTACATCTGTCTCAGTGGAAGCAGAGGAAGAATATGGTAGTGAGCTTGGCTTAGAACTAATCTTTTTCTGTTTGGTGCCACTTTAAGAAAGCTGAGATGGAAAGCTACTTCTCTTTTTAATTTCATTTCATATAACGTAAATCCCTGCCCCCACACCCTTTTTTCCTCTCTATTAGTAAATTCTTATCTCTAGAAGTTATTTAGATTCATGTGCGATAAGTGACTTCAAGGAATGATGTGTAATAATTCCTACAAATTCTACAGTTCAGGATTCTGAGTCTGAATGCTAGAGTTAAATTAAACTCTTTTTTGGATTTGCAAATACAGGTCAGCAGTGTGTCTAGTAAGCAGTGCTCTTACAATATTATCTGTGCCCTAATAATATGTGGTATAATAATATCTGGGCCTTGATTGTCTGCTCACCTGCAGTGTCTGATAATAGGAGTTTTGCTGGTGTTGCTGAGAGGGTAGTTCAGGTTCTGTCTCCTTAAATCTTGGCTGTTTTGCAAACAGGCCTATAAATAGCTATTTGTCTTTCTTAGTAGACGTGCACTTTATTTCTAGTGAGAAGCACAGTAACCATGTTTTGGAATTCAAATTTAATGTCTTTAATCCACCACCAGTGTAAGGTCAACCGATAAAATACTACTACCATAAAATGATACTCTTACCCACATGTCATAAATTTAAAACTCTTTTGATCAATACCTTCATCTTAATAGTAAAACTTCAATTTTAAATATTAGTTTTTCACTTTTTGATGCTTCGTACAGAAATCTTTATGTGATCATTGTGCATGTGCCTATAGGTGCACCTTGCATCTAACGCTAAAAGGTAGTTGCAAGAATGATGTTGCATGATTCAAAACCTAAATATTCCCTGTGTTAATCCTGTCTCCTGCAATAAGAGCTTTCTTCTACTACCAGCAAGTCAAACTGACATGAAGTTTGTGCTTGAATGGACACCATTATTTCACAGCCAATTTCATTCCATAAATCATGTGCAATCTGTTACACTCTAAGTTCCCTTCTGGTTCTTTGCTGCCATACTATATTTCTTAGATTCAGTTTTATATTAGTACTTTCTTGCATTTATCCAACAAAATCCGTCTTAATAATTCATAGCTTTTGTGTTTTTTGTAAGATATTTATATTTAATAGCCTACTGGCTATCAGTAGCGGTATTTTAAATATTAGATGAAATCTGGGAATTTGATTATAGTGACATGGTCCTGAATCTGTTAAATCCGTTTTTAAGTGTCTTTGCATTCCTATCACAATGAGGAAAATAGAGTAAGCTGAGTAGCTGTGGCTTGTTAACGTATCTATTTGGAAAAAAATCTGAGAGACAGGTAGTGAGCTGCCCTACTTAAGGAAATTAGAAGCTTCACAGTCTGACCAGTACATTCCACAATCTATAGATGTGATTTGGGTTTTATGATACTTTTAATATTCTATAAATTAGTGGAATGCATTCTCAAGATGAACTAAACATCTTTTGAACCAGGAGTAGGATCCAAATTCCACTTAAAATATGGCTGCAAGGGAGACGCTGTCTTGTATGCCATTAGAATGCAGGACAAGCAATAATGAACAGATACGTTTTTCTAGTGTATCTTTTTTGAAATTAAGTTTGCAATAAAGGAACTCGGTAAAGCATCTGAATCATTTTCCTGGAGGTTCCTTAGTTTTTATTATACCATGTTAGATTTTGAATCTTAATAACATTTATAAACGCTAAACTTTCTACTTGTCTTACATGTTCCACATGGCTATCACAAATTCTTCTTTTTTCTATCTGATTCCCTTTGTGGGTTTCTGGGAAGGTGAAGATGCAAGAAGACAGTCTAAGAACAGTCTTTCTTTAAATTAAATACAGATTTTCAATATAAAATGGAAAAAGGTAATTTGGGCCTGTAAGAACAGAATAAAGGGAAAAAAAGCAGATTAGCCCTTTCCTTTAAAAGAAAAGTTTTGTAGTGTGGTTTTAATTTCTAGTCATTTCATTAACAGAAAAATGATGAAAATTTTAAAAGGAAGACAGGAGCTAGAGAGACTTTGGAGAGAGAGCAAAAGGTGAATTTATGAGGCGGTATTAGGGATTCCATCTTGCGCAGTATCTGGAACAGTTTGTGTGTCTCCTCATACACTTCATAGAACTTAATGGGGGATTAAGACTACTACAGACATGATTTGACTTTGTCGTGAATAAGTGTGCTTGGTAGAAGAATTCATAGCGTAATAGAAAAATACTAGCTTGGGGTAGTAGACTTAAATGAAAAAAGAAAAAATTGACCTGAGATATTAGGGAAAGGTTTCCAGATAGTAAGTTTTATTAAGGAAAAAGGATAATTTTTCAGAAAAAGTGGAAGTCATTTATCAGAAAAAATCCGTGTTGCTATGCATTTACAGTTACAGAGCAGAAAGCAGCAATAAAACAGCCTATGGGACTAGTTAGTGGCATGCTAGGTGTTTTCTGTCTCTGAGTTTGTTATATTATAATTCAGTCATCTTCCCGTTTCCTAAATCAGCCTAATTAAATATAGACTTTCAGACTTGTTCAGCCATTATCAACATACATGGGTTCAAGGAAGAAGCAAAAGTTTACTGCTACTATTTTACAGTGGGAAAATACTCATATATTACTTTTTCTGTCTTTTAAAACTCCTAAATAGTGAATAGTAAATTATTCTTCAAATTCAAGTTTAGTTTTAACCAGCCACAGAAAACCTGAACTCAAATGGACTTGTAATTTAAAAATATTGAGTAAATAATAGTACCAGTGATTTAAACAGCTTTATGCTTTATAAGGTAGATGCTAAATAGCATACTGCTATGTGTATATATTTTTTCTTGCAAAATTATCTACTGCTACCATCTTTTGGCTGAAATAGCTGACCTTTCTACATATCTATGATCTCTCTTGTACTTTTATCTTACAAGTCATTAATGTTTGTACTCAAACCCAACTTCAGCAGTTGTTCCAACTGTGTGTGCTCTCCTTTGCTGTGATACTTTCAGGAGTCTTAAGAATGCTTGGGCTGTTATTTGGGTGGACTCGATGTGTATTTTGCTGAACAATATTGTCTTAATGTTTCCTTATACTCCTCTACCTCCGTATACTCATCTCTTGCCTGTTGTCTATATCTGAGTTTGAACTGGACAGGTCACAGTCTTTTATGTTCAAAGTTTGTACGGTGTCTAGCACAATGGGATTCTTGTCCAAGACCATGACTGAAAGACATTAAATAGCACAAATATATTAATAATTTTTACATAAATCTGGCACTGTAAGAATTCTAATTGTCATTCTTTTGAAATGGAATTGATTAAAGTTGCCCACTTTAACTGCTGTGCTTACCAAACACAGAAATTACTAATGATGACTAAAATGTTTTTAATCGGTTTTTTTTTGTAGTGTCAATTTTGTGAAAAGGCTTTTATGAATTATTCATTTTTACAAAGTCACATGCAAAGGCGTCATCCAGAAGAATCTCATGTTGGTACGTGCTTTAATATTATCAATAAATGAATGTAAGAGTGCAGAAATGTGTAAATATATTAAGGCTATGCAGTCTATGATTTTCTGTAGCTGGGAAAAATGATTTTGACATTCCATTTTTAGGTGGCAGTTATCAGTTTGTGTGAATGTAAGCAACACAGGCTGACAAAACTGTTGGCCTAAATATGTTTTCACTCCCTGCAAAGCAGTGAACAAAAACTTGTATGCTATATTTGCAGTACCTTTTCAAACCAACTTCCTTTCTGAATAGTTTTTTTTGAGTAGCAGAGTTCAGAGCACAGGTTTTCCTTAGGTTTGTGAACCTAGCGTGCTATAAAGTTGTGGGTAAAATGAACAAGATGCATTAAGGAAAATGCATGTTTTTATATGCAGATTATCAGCACAGAAATAATCCATCTCTCCTGAACTCAGTTTGAATAGGCTCAAGCTCTCCTAAGCTAAACTGACTGTATAATATAGTAAGCAAAAGAAACTGTCAAGAATAATCCAACTTCATATATCTGTGATAGTCCTAGTCGCTATACCACTATTATATATACTTTTATTTCTGTTCTGGAAAAATGTTCAGTTTGAAAAACATTGCTCTCAATGTTTCCTTCATTCATCCCTCATTTTTCCCTTCCTGTTAGTCAGCACGCTTATGATTTATTGCTAAGAATGAATAAGTAGTGACAAAGGACGGTGATTAGAAAAGAGTTTGGAAGAAAGGGCATTTGAGGGGACAAAGAGTGAGAAGAATCTGATGAGAATTTGAGAATTTGAACTGTAGTTGTCAGTGAAATAAAAGAGCAGGAACAGTGAGGGGAGTCTCGAGTAAGCATCTGAGGAAGCATTAACGTATTGGTAGTAGAAAGAAGCTCGTGTGTAGTTTTGCAAAAAAGATAGTGGAAGGAGCTGCAGAACTGCTTAAACTAATTATCAGATAAAAACTAATTATCAGTCTGAAATTGCTGTATGAGGGAAATGCTCCATGCAGTTATGTCTGAAATAACTTATTCCAAAGTAACATTTGGCATTGTACTCAGATTCCCAAATGATGAGCAGCCTAGTAAATCCTCAGTAAACTGATAATGTTTCAAGATTAAAGATGGTTATGATTTTTGCATATCTTTAAACGTTTTTATAGTGATACTCCAAGTGAAACTCAGGGAACGGAAGTTCTGCCTCACTCATTACAAATAAATGAAAAGTTGCATTCCAAATGGACTCATTACAAAAGTTGTTTCGAATAAGATAAATTAGATGTTAACAACATTTAAGAAACCTAATAGAATCAAATAGTGTAGATTCATTTAATCTTTTATCTGTCCCTTTTCGAGCCTGTGTTGCTTATATTTCTGTAGTACACACTGAGATTAGGTGATACTTTTCCCAATACTTGCCCAATACTTTTCCTTGCAAATATTTCATAAACTATTTCACAAGTCACAGATGCTGTTATTTTTCAGTCTTTGAGAATAAAGTTAGCAGTCCAGAGAGCATACTTATTTAAAGGCATCTGTGGAGAATCAGATGGAAGGTGAAATGCTGTATGAGAGTCACATTTGATGAAGATGTTATTAAAACACTATAGAAAAGCATTTGCAGTAAGTGTCACATTTCCAGAAATTACAGCAAACATTTTTTAAAATCTGTGTTTCTTTCAAATAGATCAAAAGAAGAACGCAAAGACGGACAAATTGCAGGAAGAGATTGATAAACTGAAGGAGCAGTTACAGCTCACCAAGTCCCAGTTAGAGGCTGAACAACATGCTAATATGGTCAGGTTTTCTAAGGTAATATGTATGAAGTAATGTGAACCTCTCAAAAGAATTGGTACTTTGGACTGTGTTTGCTCATTTTGTAACTAGAGCAGAATGAACATTTATCTACAGCTTGCCTACCTGGCAGCAATGTTGCTTGGGCATTAGAGCATAGCCATCCCAGTAGTTTTAAACATCCCTTTCCTCCTTACTTTGGTTTTAGGCATAGTTTAAATGACTGCTAAAGACAACATTTCTGTTAGCATTTGGTAACAGAATGCTACCAAATTGCATATTGGTAAGATAAGCAGAGGCTACTGTTTAAGCAGATGGAATTGGCCTTTGCTGCCTATGAGAGGCAAACAGCAGTTCAAGGAAGGGAGACAGAAGAAACAAGGCAAATTATATAGAACTTACATGTTAGACTTTACGTCCTTAGAATACGGCTGACCAGAGAACCAGAGCAGAAAGTAGTCTTAACCACTACTGAGTGAATAATAATAAAAAAAAGAGTAACTTAAAGCAGTAATAATAAGTTTGTAATTGCATATAAGGGTTTTATTTAGGGTGGTGTTAAAACTTGTGGTAGTGCTTACTGGCTAGTAAGAAGAAAAAAAAGAATCTGTGAATTACCTGTTTAAGTTCTTTTACAGTTTGATGATTCCAGATTATCAAACAGTTTTCCAGATTATTAACAGTTTTCATTTCTTTTTAAGTAAATGCAATCGGAAATTTTGCTATCATAGCAGAGGTGGAAAAAATTTAAAAAGGGGGGAGGAGATTAATGATTCACTTTGAGGAGCAAATTTTTGGCATAAGAGACAGCACATTTCTAATGACCAATCCTGATACTGCAATTTGCCCCTTCTTAATCTTGTATCACGCTCAAAAGCAGTGTTAAATTGTTGTAAGCATAATCCATTAGAACCTTCTTTTGATAGAGCACACAATATTCAGAGCTTCTAAATGGCTTTCCTAGTATAGTTTGAGGACTTTCAAGCATAACACGAAACATTAGACTTGGAAGGAAATACTACATTTTGAATTTAACAGGAATAAACCAAACATTGGTTTGACTAACTACTTTCTCCTTTATTTCCAGAGAAGAATACAATCTTCTGTAAAACGCAGAGCGTTTCCTTTCCTCAACACAGTTTCAGTCTCTCTCTTTCCTTCTTTCAGTCCTCCTGTTTCTCTTCTCTCAGGACCATTCAGCTTTCTGCTGTTTTCCATTTCCAAAAGTACTGAAGGTTGAAAATGAAGAGTGGGGGTAGAGTTTCACTTAAGAGTGCAAGCAGCTATATTTCCATTCACGCAGCAGGAGATACTTCTTTCATGTTAGTTCAGCAATATATCTTATCATATAGTGTAATTAACTGTTATTGTGCAGCAGCATCATACAATGTATTCAAATTAGCACAGTATTTCTTCCACACTTAACTCTATTCATTTTATAAATTGTATTATATCTTTTTTCATTGTTTTTGAATTTTTCCCTATAACTTCCAACCATAATTCTGTAGACCACAACCATAATATTTTTCTAACTTCGGTTGGAAATCTCACTCTAAAAACACTGCTTTCACATTCAGGAGGCACTGCAAAGACACCAAGAGAAGAAGAGCTGCTAACTCTGAACCAAACAAGCAACCAAACAAGTAACTTTGTTTCCTGTGGGAGAACCAAGAAAATAAGCACCTGTGGCTGCTATGGCTGCACAGCCACCTGTTTCCGAGAGACAATCCTCTCTAGGTGGAAAGCATTCATTGACAGCCACAGTCAGTTGATTGTCCCCTGCTGTCATTTACAGCATCTGAGCTTTCCCTGATGGTGCCTTTACACTGATGAGCTTCCTGTCCTTCTCTTTCTAGCAGTGCAGTGAAACAAGTATAGCAGATGCTTAGATGTCCATGCAGTTTAGATGGTTTTGTCTATGCTTGCTTATGCTATCCAACTACCCACAGCAGCTCTAAGTCTTGTGATGCTCTGAATGTTGTGCTTCTTCGTTCCTTGTGGTGGCTTCATGAAGTCTGTAATTTATAGATCTATGAAACTACACCGTTAAAGCTTATAGCTAGGTCTACAACTGTATCTTGAACTGTATCTTGAACTGACCCCTATAACTGATAGACATTATAAAATATTCTGATTAAAGTAACTTTGATGGAAACCCTTTATTCCATGAGGAGTTTCCTTTACTGGGAGAAAATACAGACTGATCCCTAACTTCTAGTATATGTCAGCTGCCGACTTCTTCTCTGCACTAAAGTGGGTCAGTGAAGTCAGTTACCCCTAGAAATGAGATAATGCCTCAGCTTTAGTTAGTTAAAAGCATTTCAGTGAAGAACTGTATGAGGGACCCAAAGACCTTTTTTTTTTTTTTTCCCCTCATTAAAAGCTCAAAAGGAAAGATAGTTCTTCATTCCTGGAAGCTGAAGCTTTCATCTAAGGTTGCCAAAGAAAGGCTCAGTGTCAGAATAATGGTCCTGGACTTACATGGGCAACTGCTAGATTCCCTCCCTACTCATTCTTTCTGTACCTCACTTTTCAGAGGTACATCTGTGAACACGTTTCTCCTGTACCTGAGTCATTGTTCTTCTCATGATACAGAATCCAGAGTATTCATAACAGTGCAGCATGGATATTTTGGTGCCTTAGGGGCCTATTCTGACGCCAGTTGTCTTAGCTGAGACTTGTAACTACAAGGGGACTGCCTGAAATGTCCTGAAACTACTGCCTTCAGTGGTACACAACAAGAGGCTTTTGGAGCTTCTATATTTTGCTGGGATGTGGGGAAAGATAGAAGTATGAAGTTTAACTGTTTAAGACTTGTCTGCTATTTCTGACATCCACTGTCAATTTAGGTATCCTTTTGTTCAGTGGAGAATGGAGAAAGTCTTTCCCTTATTTTATCAGGAGTTCCACTACTGGAAAGGATTCAGAGGAAAACCATAGTGCTTCCAGCTGTTGATCCCTTCTCCTTTGAACTGAAAGGATACAGAAGATGCTGTGCTTCTTAAGTGTCCAGATACCAGAAAGATTGCTTTTTATAGATAGTAGGAAAACAAATTCAGAGTGAATGCCTCAACGGAAAGGAGCAGAGGTTGCCAAAAAAGTGCATGTATTCTGGGCAGTGAAGTGCAGGATTTTGTCTGACAAAGGTTTAAAAGCAGAGAAGGAGCGGGCAGCTGTGCTTGAGAGGACTCCTTTTTTTTTATACAACTAAGTACTGTAACTTCAGAAGGAGACTTCACTGGAGCATGCCGGGCCTTGCTTCCCTTTTGCCCCTTTCTGTTTTCTCCATTCTCCTAATAAGTGGAAGACAAGTGTGGACTCAAAACTTGAACTAAAATAATCCTCATTATAATGTAAAAATAAATAGGCAGCTTTTTAAAGGAAAAAAATAATGTTTATAAGAATGAAGATGAGATAATAAGATGGCAGGAAAGAGCAAAAACATTGCACTACTGGAAAATCGAAATGGACTTAAAGAAATCTCTATTTTATTTCACCCTTTAAGATCGTTGCATATTTTTGCCTGAGAAGGGACCTGTACTGTCACTTCTGAACAACTTGTCAACAAACTAACATTATGGACAGTTCAGTGAGTTCAGAGAGTCTCATGCCACTTTCAAATTTTACTTTCAAATTTGATTTGGAGGTTTTTCATCTATGGCAACAAAACATTTCAAACTGAAGTGCAGACTTTTCAGAAATGTCATATATATATGCAAGCTTCTGTTAACTATCTGTGAGGATGCTATTTTGGGGACTCTTAAGTAGGCCATGAATCACAAACAGGAAGTGACTAAGGTAGGCTCATAGCAGAGGTAATCATTCTGATTATAGCTTTATTATTTTTGTCCATTTGGAATTGAATTCCATATCCAGAAGTTACTAATTTTTCCTCAAATACAACCCGAATATGAAAAAAGAAGCTTTTATTCGGTATCACTGGCATTATTGAACTTTGTATCCAATAAATTCATTTTATTCCGTTCCTTTAGCCCCGTATTCTGTATAATGCAGAATTCTGTAGTGAAGGTACAAAGTTATATTCCATAAATTGGCTGTGGAGACTGGGTTCTTAAGAAGAAATAGATAGGTTCTGATGAATGGGAGACAACAGGATTAATTCAACCTGTGTTTCATAGGTGATTTCCTGAGTGGGTCCTCAGATTAATTCAGGGATCTGTTCGAGAGCCTGTGATGTTCAACATATTCATGCACAACTTGGAAAAGAGAGTAAGCAGTCAGGCAGCAAAGTTTGCTGTTGATACTAAGTCATTCATACTGCTAAGAAGAAAGGCCAAGTGTGAAGAACCAGTGAAGGACTTTACAAAAATGAGTGACTGACTAATGGATGGTAAATGAAATTTAACAGATAAAATAGGATAAGTGCATAAGGTAGAAGAACAATCCTATCTTCATCTACAAAATGATAGGTTCTGAGCTAAGCATCATTACTGAAGGGCAAGATCTTAAGGTTATGATAGATGGTTTCATGGAAATGTCAGTCTAGTGCTTAGTAGCGATCAGAAAAGCAAAGCAAGTATTACAAATAATCAAGAAAAATCACTGTGTAAATCCATGGTTTAGCCATAGCTTAAATAGTATGTGTTAGTGGTCCCTTCATCTCTAAAAGGATGTAATAGAATGAAAAAATTCCAGAGCAGCATTACAAGGATGATCAAAGTCTGAAACAGGCTCTGTATTTAGAATGACTGAGTAGGCTAAGAGTTGTCAGTGTGAGAAAGAGAAAACAGCTTGGTGGTGGTGAGGAATATGGATGTCTAGAAAGTCGTGAGTTATACATAGCGAGTGAATAGGTATCAGTTGTTCAAAATTTGTTCAAAGTTGTTCATACAAAAGTGGTTGGTACTTCATGCAACTTGCAGTAGACCTTTGAAGCTCATTGGCAAAAGATACTGTGGTTGCTAAAAGTTGACACAGGTTCAGGGGAAGACTGAAGAAGCACATGAGGAGGAAACTATTGAAGGTTACTAAGTTTACAAAACCACACTGGCTTAAGAAGTCCTCTGAGCTGAAAACAGTTGACAGCTGGGAGACTGTTAAGAAGAACATGAATATTTGTTACTGCAACTGTCCTTTCCCAGCTATCTACTGACGGCCTCTTTGGGAAACAGGATACTGAACTAGGTGGACCGTTGATATAGCCAATTAAGGTCATTCTTGTGTTCTTATGTAATGAAAAATAATGAACTTTGAAACTTCTTGAGGCTTATTTGTTTTGCTAGCAAAATGCATGGTTTGTAATTCCAGAATTTTTCAGAAACTAATGATTTTTATATTTTTGATGTCACATTTTGATACCCATTGAAAGTGACTGTTTGCCACACACAGTTTGACAGTTTGGATGCTTGAGTTAGTATTGTATGTGGGGGAAAAAAATTACAAATAATATTTTTTAAATAATTGCAGGAATGTGAACAGCAAAAATCGAAAGAAGAAGAAATTCTACACTCATTTCATAAATGGAAAGAGGAGGAAAAAGAGAAATTGGCTGATGAAATAGAAAAAGTGAAAGAGATGTTTATGAAAGAGCTTAAAGAGTTATCTTCAAGAAATTCTATGTTAGAAGATGTAAGTCATTAAATTTTCCAACATTTTAAGGCATAAATATCTTACAGTAGAAGGTAGTGAACTTGACGTATTTGAAACATGAGGCAGTCGTCTGAGGGGCCTTTTTATAAAAACTTGAAAAAATACGGTTGAATAACAGCCGCAGTTGTATCCTTGTATTCTGGTATTTTATCTACATAATTTCAATTCCTTTCTTAATTGCATTACTTTGGTTGAAAGAGTTTTGCCTTCAGAAAGCTTGCCGGTATTCTCTTACTCCTCGACCATTAAGTTCTTGTTTAGGTATTAGTAAATATTGTTATTACTGCTGTTAGGCGTCTGTTATATTAACACTCTAATGAGTGACATGGAGGAGATTAATATCCCTGACAGTAGAACTGCATATGCTTTCCATCCCGTCAAAGGAATTGCTTTTCAGAGCTTTGTCTAGAAAGAGATTTGTGAAAGAACAGCTAGATCAGAAAACAAGCATGTGTGGCTTTAGCGAAGCAGCTTATATTTTGTAGCTGCTGGTTCCTGTTTATGTTTACATTGTATAATCATATAAAACGTACATATTAATAATCACATGAAAGTTGATAAATGCTGACCTCGTAAGAAATACATGAGAAAAGTCTGACACAAGTCTTTGTACAGTTACCTTTAAAGTATAGTTCATATTTAATGACAGTTTTATAAAACAAAATCCGTATACATATTCTGGCCTTAAATTGTTTTTTCATTCCTTCTAGCAACTGTTAGCATTACAAAAGTCCAATATACAACTAAAATCCAACTTAGGGACATTAAAAGACAGCCAAGAATTTGTAGAAGAGAAGCCTCAGAATCCTCAGGATTATCAGAATGTGGTTAAACTTCTTGAAAAACAGGTAACACGGTAACTTAATGTATTGAACCTGACACATTACTGATCATTCTAATAATTTTTACGTTTATGTGTAGGATTTTAAATTTGTCAGTAAAATTCTCACTCCTCTGTCTGAAATAGCTAGATTTTAAAATTCACTACTGTTTAGTACAATCTCTGTAATAGAAATGGGGGAATGATTGCCCTTATGCTTTATAATTAAATTTATTGTTAGTTTTTTATTAATATTCCCTTATTCTTTTTTATTAAAAATATCTACCTGTACCAGTATGATCTGGTTGCAGTTCAGGGCCCAGAGGCTCTAATAAGCCATTTATGTCTGCTGATCTGTGAGGCCGCTTTAGGGAAATAATGTTAAAATTGGAAATTTCCATTCTCCATAGTAGAAAAAACATTAAGAAACTTTCAGGCAAGGTTTCCCAACCTGTGGCTTTGGAACTACATGAAGCTTTTTAGCTCAACAGGTACAATTTATGTACTAGGACTCTTATCATCTGCCCAGCATAGATGCATAGATGCTGGTGCTAGTGCAAAGTTGTTGGCCAATTCAAAATCCTGTCTATCAGAAAGAGTTAGGAAGTGCCACTGAGGCCATGATCATTGCATTGAGCTGAGACTTACCTGCATGTCCGGGCTGTTCGTCTCAAAAAATTAGGGTTGTGAGGCCTTTGGTGCCTAGGAACCTTTTCTCTCTTCTCCTTGACTCTTTGAGATGTGCATTATATATCTCATGGTTCTTGGGATATCTTGGGATGTGATATCATCAGCAAGTTTGGTCACTTCTGTTCGAAGATGTGAGAAACTTAGTGAATTTTACTTTATACTTTTAATTTAATTAAAAAAAAACAGCGCACTTTAAAATTCGGATATTAAGATTATTTTTTATCATCACAGTATGCAACATATATTGTTAATGAATATTTGAAATAACCTTATTTGGTTAAAAGAAAGACCCTACTTTTATCAGCCGTTATTGTTAGTAAACAGAGATGTATCAAAATACCTGACTCTTTCTCAATTTCAGTCACTACATGTACAAATCAAGGCCTTTTATGGACAAATACGTAGTTTACAGACTATTTGGTAACAACACTGTGCTTGCTTATATGAAACATGGTGATGACTGTTGTAGGTCTTAAATATGGGGTTATTCAAGTTTCATGTCATCAGTAACCTTTCCAGTACATATGCTTTATTTATAAAAATATGCACTATGTTGAAGTAAATGTTAGTGTGTAATTAGCAAGAATTAACGTTGGTTTCCTTTGTACAGGAAGGTAAATGGACATCTAGAGTACAAGCCCTTCATCAGGAACATGAGACAGAGAAGAGTCTGGTAAGTTGTACAGCAAACCACTTATACCAGAAAGATATTTTTTCTTATTTTCTCACAGTTGCGGTAGTTCTTGATGTGTTACAATACATCTGTTAGATTAGAAAGCCTAGGTCCCAAGAATTTGATAAGTGTGTCCTCTTCGATGTATTTATTATCTTTGTTTCTGTTATGCTAGGATCTTGAAGTTTCAGTGACCAGAGTTGAAATGGAATTTATCATGTAAGAATCTGACAAACACCTGAAACTATACCTCTGTTTGGAAGAGCTCACAACTATACTGTTCTGTGAAGACTATTTTATAAACTATTTTCTGTTACGTGGCTATGCTGAATATTTAAGATACAGCTTGCCAACATACCGCTTTCATCTACCCCATACCTTTAGCTAATGTGGACCTATGGCATATGTCTCAATCTTTTTCTTTCATTTCTCTGTTTCTTTTTTTGCTGTAGCTGTCTTAACTCAGAATCTGTTCTCTTTTCCAGGAAAGGACATTTTACCTGGCATCTGTTTATATATTTTACTATACAAGTTTTATTCCTCAAGTTTTTTATATGTCTGCATTTCTTTTTAATGTCTTTGCTGCTTTGTTTCTGTTGCCTCCTTTCCTTTTATTTTCTTTCGCCTGCGTCACCGTGTAAGAGCTGGGCAGGTTATAGTGGTCTGGCCAATACTTCTCCTCTGGCAAGAGAGCAGTGGGGAAGAACGATGGAACATTCCCCCAAAAAGATGTAGTTAATGATACACCCACATACATTGCGAGAATAGAATAAGGGAGGAGTAATGTAAGTATTGCTTTTTAGATGGTGCACCTAAAATATTGTTCCTCTTCTATATTTAGAGCTAATATATTAGGTTTATCATGCAAATTCACCTCTTGTTTCCTTAAAATATCACTATTTGACACTGTTAATGACCAGAATATTTTTATACAGTCATCTGCTTTTTCCTGTAACCTTATTTTTAGGCAGTCTCAGCAATGTGTTTGTATATCCTTTTATTTGCGCTGAGATTTAGGTAGTTCTCCTTCTGCGAATAAAAAATGATTCAGACGGCTGTTTTGTAATGTATGCAAGTCTCAGTGGAATCACATGTGACATTGCATCCTTCCTGAAAAAAAGCCTTAAAAGAAAAATTTAAACATGACTCTTGCTTGTTTAAACCCAGTAGTATGGAAGTAGTTGTATAGAAGATTACTATCAAGTTACTTTTCTGCTGTTTGCTTTCTAGCTACTATCACAGATTGAGAAGCTTAAATCGTCAGTGAGAGAAGACCTGAATAAAAGCAACACCTTTTACAAGAGGAGAATAGAAGAGTTGGGGCAGAGGCTTCAGGAACAGAATGATCTAATTATTGCTCAAAAGAAACAGGTCTGTTTTGTGAAGCGTTCTAGGTTTCAGAGAGCATAGGACACAGAGAAACATTTTCCTAATATTAGGTCAGTGATGTGTCTCAAGTTGCATGGGTGATATTCGCAAGTGGTAAGAATGTTACGGATTATTTTGTTCACATTTCAGGAATGATGTTGATAATTAGGAAAAGATCTGGAAAAGAGACACGGGAATTAGAGCATGATTTAGAGTGAAAAGTTTAACAAACAAAATGCTTTTAATAAGTTTAACACAAAGTTAAGAGATTACTAGGTCACAGTCTCCAGAGATCAAAGATGAAAAATTTCTGATAGTATACAGGATTTAATCTGTCAGAAAATGATCACATTGAGATCTAGTATTTGAAATCTGAAACTACATGATTTCACACTAGAAATAAAGTGTAATTTTTATAGCTGTGAGACTAATTCATGAAATTATTTGTTTGAAAATGTTTTTATTTTTCTTAAAAATATACTTTTATTCCAACGTAACAATTAATTTTTTGAGATGGTCACTGGATGAAGATCTGTTTCCTTTGTTAGTCTGGAGTTTAGACTGTGACATCATTATGCTGTCCTAACAATCTGTTCCTCTATTAGATTATGTGTTCTTTACAAAACGCACACAACATTTTATGAGATTAATGGTCTGCCCATACACAAGTATTTACAGATTTGGAACAACAAATAATAGTTTTTACATCTCCATCTTAGCAAATTTGATAGCTGTTAAGTGAAGGAGCAAGAGAGGACAACTTAGTCCTAGACAAATTACTTAAAGTGACCCTTTTAAATATTACCACAGATGTAAAATAGATTCAGAGGAAGCCAAGTTTGCTGTTTGTGCAATGCAATTATGAAGTTCTCCATTCTCAGTACTCTAAAACTGGAAGGGCTTGAGAAATAGCTAACACTTCTGTAGAATTCAAACTGGATAAACCATAAATTGAGGCACTACTGACTATCTAAAGGGCTAAATAAGAGGCCAGGGTCCAGTATCTTGTGCAAGCACTAAATGATATTGACTGTGTGTCTGTGCTGTTTGGGGTTACCTTCTGGATTCACCAATTTCCTGTTTTCTTTAGGGGAAAAAAGAAGAGAGTAATAGTTTTCTCCCAAAATCATTAACAATAGTTTCTGCCATGGAGTAGTACTGAAACTAGGTATTTCATACTAAATATGCATTTCTAGATATTGGTAGTTTGCATTTCTAACTGTCCATGTTCCTATCTTTTTTCTTTTAGATAAAAGAATTGTCCACAAGATCAGTTGCAAGTATCAAACCATATGATGGTAAGTGCAAACTGTGAGAAAAAGCAGATTATGTTTCTGATTTGAAGAGTTTGAAGCATTATAGTTTATTAAAAAATACAGACATCAACTTTATTAATTATATATTGAAACAAAATCAATACTTGCCATTTATTTGTGTTTCTTAGGGAACCTACATGTAGTACTGTGTTTCCATGCCTTTGTATTGATTCCCAAAGTTCATATACAGTTTGCAGCTGTAAGGTCGTATGATGTACAAAGTTGATCTCTTGAGTAATGAAGAGATATGAAATGTGGTAGCTGTATTTTGTAGTATATAAACAAACTTTTGGTGTTACTTTACGAAGTATAAATTGATTTATTTTCATCTTTGACTGTCCTGAGGCTGTAGAATTCATAAAAGGGCAAATACTGAAAGGATAGACAAAATTCATTAATATATACATTAAGATAAAGATTTTTAAAGAATTTTAAGGATTCTAATGATGATTTATCTGTGCCATACCTTTCACCATTTCACTGACGTTTCACCAAGTCCATTTGTTTCCAACATTTCACTAAGTCCATTGCAAATAGTTAAACCTGGTAATACTTGTGTTTCAGGTTGCAGTCCTAAACAATAGGTACCCTTTGATGCTTCAGTTGCAGTGACTTAAAATAGGTTTACTGCGACAGATGATGATAGCAGGATTAAGACTAATTCTGGTTTGGAAACCATCTTGCTCTGGTAGCAGGGCATTGGCTTGAACTGAATCTAACAGCAGGGAGTAGATTTGTTTGAGGATAGCGCAGTAACAGAATGGCTGTATGGCCACACTGGGCACAGACAAGTGTAAGCCCACGGCATACAGATGGATTTGCTCTTAGGCTCCAAAGAGATGTGAGCAACGCAGAACTGCTGTGATAATTCGGTCCAAGGTTTCACTCCATACATAATATAGGTAGGATTTGTACTGATTGATAGGAAATGTGGATGCAACTGATCCTTTCAGTGGATACTACTCTTGATCAGGCTAGACACAGGCTAGACTTCAGTAGGTGTCTTTGCGTCAAGGCTTCTTCCGTGGGACACAAAGACAGAGTACCTGCGTAGCCATAGAGGCTGTCTGACTAGTGCAGGTTTACATTCCAGCTCAGTGACAATTTAGTTACTGATTTCTCTTCCTGCTTCTAGAAATATTAAAAATATCATACATATCTAGAGATGGTCCAGTAGTCCTGTGAAACACCATTTTTTACTTGGTAAACTAATGTTTAATTTTTTTCCCATTGAGGTCAAAAATTATGTACTTCATGAGTATGATTAAGTGTTGTTATATTTATGAATCTGTATATAGCTGTTATTGTTTTTTATAACGTTTACTATAATATGTTTACTTTTTTTTCACTTTTTCCTGTTTTAGCAAACACTACTGTACAGCCTCTAGTAGACTGTAAATCAGGTCTACCACTGATGCATGGTAAGTTTTTGCATTAGGTCCAGATTCAGTACTTGCAGAGCTAACACCCTCTCTTCTGAAATGTGGTACTTGCTTGTAAGAATAGTTACACTGGAAGAAATTCAAATGGCTCTCTTATCTGCCTGCATTGAAAATTCCTGTGAAATAATTGTAAAAGGGATACTGTTGAAAAGAGTAAGTGAAAAAAAAGAAAATAATTTCGGGGTATTTCCTAGGAGATGGAAAGTATTGGAACACCATATATTCAATAAAACTAACTGTGAAGGTGAAATAAAATGATTTCTTTTAGAAAATATGTTTATTTTGTGGTATAGGCAAATACCAGAATTTGCATAGAGAAAAATGTGAAGATGTTTGTTTTTAGTGAGTCTTGAAATCCTGTATTTTTCATGTGATTTCAAATGTCAAGGAGGAAAAATACAGCAGAAATAATCAAAAGAGACAGTCATCCCATCTAGACAGTTCTTCTAAAGTAGAGCTGTACTCACCTATAGATCATTATTTAGTTATTTTAAATGTTTTACATATTTTAAATATATATTTAGTTATGTTATTGTGGCATTGTGGTAATGTGTGGTAGTAAGGGGAAAGGAGGAACCTGACTTGATATTGTTCTGTGTTTTGTGAAAGTAGCTTTCATTTTTTGTCAGTATGCAAAGTACTAGAGAGTATTGCTTTAAAACCAATATTCTGTGTTCAATTAATTCTTTGCTTTAATTTCAATCAGGACAATAATATAAAAATGAATTTTGAGCAAAGAAAATGCTTAAATGTTAAAAATAGTAGTTTATTGATTATTTGAATTATTTAACTAATCATGAAATAACGATTTAGTATTATTATTTCTCTTAGTTTTAAAATGTGCCAAGGAGAGAGGAATGTAATTTGTCTAAGACAAATGTACAGAATTTTTCAAATTTAGAAATTTTAAAATGACATGTGAGGGGACGAAGGGGTAGTGTACAATGGAAGCTTTAGCTAACTTGATCAGGAATGAAAAACTGATGAAAATGAAGGGTTGATTTCAAAATATTTGATATGACAAATATTAAGCTAAGGAAAATAGATTTTTATTTATTATATGGTAAAATTATTTGAATAATACAGAGATTTCTTAGTAAGCTGTGTGAGGAAGCTATTCGATGAAAGAAGCATTTTAGGTGAAACTGTTTATAGACGGAATGTTTTTGTGGAGTGGAAAGTAATAAGGTACTAATAATGTTATTGATAATAGTATTTAAAATAGTCCTCTTATTTTTCATTCAAACAGCTTTCATTGCACTAAGACAGCAGTGGTGGTCTTTAAGAGACCTCACGGCAAGTAGCTTAGCCATTGCCCTGAATTTAAAGATCTAGTTTTATGAAGAATTTTGCTTCTAAGGGGCCTACATGCTAAATTTGTCAATAATTCTTTTTTTAGTCCATTTCCTTTCATTTGAACTGAGTGGCAAAACAGTTCTGTGAACATTAGTATTTTTTGCACTATGACAATTTAAGTCAGCTCATTCAGATTTTTGTTTCTCACTGCTCCAGATACAAAGTTTGTGACAACTTAAGAAACTTCTGATAGAAAAGGCTGTTCCCACCACTGATACACAAAAGATTTGCTATCAGTTTACTATGAAACATTAGAGAAGGTGTCTCCTTCGGACTCCTTTGCTGATTATTATTTTATTTATCTCTGCAGGTCTCTCTGTCCCCTTTCTTCCCTTCCTCATGGATTTTTTAAAAACTTATCCTACCTAATTGCTGGATATAAAGGTTAGCAGAAATTCTAGTGTCTTTCCCAAAATTTTAGGGCTCTGCAAGAGATTGAGTTCTGTACTGAATTAAGATATCATGGCTGCATCTGATGCTGTTATGAAAATGAAAGTGCCTGCTGGTAACTTCCAAACACACACTTATTTAGCACAGAGCATCTCTGACATCAGAAGATATGTAGTTGTCTGATCAAAATGTTTCTGATTTCTTAGGATATCTAGTTCTAGGATGGAATGCCATCCTAGCATGACCGTTCTTTGAGTTTCTGAGCTAGCTGTACTGTTTTGTGCAGATATAACTTATTTTCAAAGATGACTTCAGTCTCATGAAAAGGCTACAGATGAATTATGTTTTTTTGCAATGGTCTTGGGCTCTTGCATCATTCTTGAAATTTTGATACTTGCTCAATATTTAATCATTCTTAGATTGATAGTGTTAGGTGGAATTGAAGACAGTAGTTAAAAGGCAAAGATATTAAGGAAATTGTGCATTGAAACATAAAGCTTGGTCTTCATACTTGCTGTGCACTAAGACTGTGCTATTGTTAGGGACTTAACTGAAGCATCTGAGGAAAATCCAGTCATAGCATTCTTCCAGGACAGTTAATGGAGGAAAGGGGCACTTTCAGAGTTTGGTTCAGCTGAACCAAGATCCGAATTACTCTTTGAAGTTGCCTGTGTCTTCATTTACTGTAGAAGGAATCTGAGATGACTAGACTCCTAACTTAGATGCCTCAGGTAAACATCTAAAATTTGTCATATTTAAGGATATTGGCTTAAAATTAATGCTATTAAAAGCATGAATACGATGATATCCATCAGCCTGTGCTAAGACTGGTCTTGGCAGCTACCGTTTAGCTAGGTTTAAGTCTGAAGCTGACAGTAATAGTTTTTGTGGGGATGAAGCTGGGATTAGTTTTAGGACTAAGGCTGGCTGAAGACATACAGTGAGGGATATGCATGAGTCTAGAATTTGCCACTGGGCTAGGTGTAGGGTTCAGCAATGATAGCAACATGAGCCATTTGGCTGGAGTGAGGTGTGGGATTCTTGTGGAAGACCAAATAGAATTCGGTTTGGAGGTCAGATGGTTCAAACTAGCAGAAGCTGATTTATGTGTAGGTCTACAAGGAATCTACAAAGATTTAACCAGGAGACATCTGGCGATGGCTGAGTTTGGGTTAGAATTAAGCTTAGGCAGATATAGATTGGCAAAGGAAAGTTATGGTTGAGTTAAGAAGCAAGGCAGCAGCAGCAGCAGGGCCTGCCTGAATAGGTTTGAGGCTGGTATTTATCACTATTTTATAGCCAAGAAAAGGGTGGAGATTAGAGTCAGGGTTCAAACCAAATTATATCAGTGAACAAAGTATAACTGAGATTTCATCTGAACTAGAAGACAGATGTAATCTCTGGTTCTGCTAGTTCCCTAATAGCCCACAGTAGGAGATCTGTGCAGCACAACCATACCTCCTTCCTTGCCTCAGCCTCCTGGAGTCCATTTCCAGTAAGGCAAGGAAATGGTTTGGGTGCTCGTTAGATGTGTTCCTCTGGAGCAGGGAACCGAGAAGTGTCTTGAAGCAAGTGATTCAGATGTAGGTGTGAGTCCAGAAGGGAAGGTAGTAGTTTGTCTAGGTTTGACATTCAGTCTAGGACTAAAGCAAGGAGTAAGATTCTGGACCGCAAGGTCTGATGTTAAAGACGATGTAGAGCAGAGTCTGCTAGGGTCAGCCAGACTAGATTTAGAGCAGGTAATTGACAGAAAGGCAAATGTTAATAGTCAGATTGATTCCTAAAAATGAGGTTGTTAATATTAGAATGTTATCTATAGATGCTGCAGATTTCAAGGATAAGTGAGCGCACTAAGCTAAAGCCAAGAGGTCTGATCAGGTAGCTACAAGAAGCACACCGCTGACAAACATAAAGAGAGGGGCTCCTTAGAAGCTTAACTCCCCACCCATCTATAAAACAGGGGAGTGGTGAACCAAGCTGCTGCTTCTTACAGTGGATTCCAAACTGATGATTAATAAATTTCTCTTAATATATGCGCACAGTGAGAAGAAAGAAGAGGCCTGCTTACGTTGGAGTAATTGATGTTTCTAGATGTTCCACTCCCCCATGTCTCAGGATTTGATCTCGTCTGTCATCAGGCAGTGAGCAACGATATTATGCACAGCAGTAATACATTCCCGGCTTTTGCTACTCTAACTCTTCTTTTACTGATTTTAAATCCCTCTGTTTCTAGTCTACTGAGGAAGAGAAACACATACCTTTCTGACATCAGCAGACTTACTTTCAGGTCTGAATTCTGGGGATTGGGTTTTTCCTGTTACAGTTAAGTTACCTGACAAGGGCTTGTGCTGAGATGAGTCAGCTGCTTTAAGCAGATTGCATTTGAGTAAAGTACAGGTAGAATGTGTATAGATTAAATCCAATTATGCAATAACTGGCTAACTCTGTAGTAGTTCCAGCCAACAAGCTCGGAGGCTATGCCCGTGGAACTAAATTAAATCTCCCCAGGAACATCTCTCATCTGTGCTAGGAGCTCTGTTCTTCAAAACAGGCTGGCTGCAGTCTTTTGGGAATATTCCCAAACTGTGCCTGTATATTGTTTGGGAGAATGTTCGTTGTCACAGGGCAACAGTGTGTCCGGAACAGCTTTAGGAGTTCAACAGTGTGGAGAATCACATTCAAATGCCCGGGAGTGCTCTGGCCACTGTTTAATTTACAGCCTTTGAGACTGAAAGACTAGAAGCCTGTATGTCAGTCAATCTCTCAGAGTTTTTTTTTTTTTTTTAAGAGTTCCCATAGAATACATTGATTTTTACATCTTGTTAGCATCTTTTAATTATACAAGAAGCTTTTTTTCCCAAACTTTTGTTTAGTGCAAATTAGATAGGAGTAAATCTTAAATCTTGTAACCTGCCTGAAAAAGGGGGTCAGAGGCTGGATATAACTGCAAGTATGGAAGGCATGGAGAGTGCAGTTACTATACTGAAGCATTTACAACAGACTTTTTTAGTCCTTCCACATTGGGAATATTAAAGGTGTGACAATAAATGTTGCTTAGCTCCAAGTGCCCGTTTTGCTATAACCCTTCACAATGCTTGCATGTTTGTACTATATCATACAGAAAGTACTGAAGAGCAGGCATGTTTACTGTAATGCCACTTCCTTCCCTTCCACCAATAGAGTGTAACAACCATTTGTAGTGCCAAAGGATTTTTGTGAAGGCTGGGGCAAATGTGCAGCTCTAACTACTACAAGAGAACTTTTTAAAGTGCTGGCCAATAAATTGTTTTTCCTATACTGCCAGTAGTTGAATGCTGAAATTACTGTTTGCTCATTCTTCTGTTTTTGTCATAAACCCGAGAAGAAACTTAGGCTCTAGTTTTCGTTGAAATAAATTCATTTATGCAAAGTGAATATTAAAATTTAAAAACCTCAATTTTTATTAATCTACATATAAGCATTTTCTTACATCTTTTCTTACATCTGTTTTTTTAAGTCTATAAAATTGTAAAGAAATTGTACTCTGGCTTCATTTGTATAAAACCAGTTGTGCCTGATGGCCTATAGAATAATAATTTTGGTGTGCTTAGAAAGTCATTTTCAGAAGAGGACATTTCAATATCTTTTTAAAACACATGACGGTACTGAAGCTCACTGTGTTGGAGTCCCTGAAGATTTTTTAAATTGGTCTGATTGGAAAAAAAGACTTTTAACTCTTGAGTCCCTATATATTGATAAGATTTCTCTTTGTCTTGCACATGTGAACTTTCTGCTTAAGAATTCTCCATACTAATGATTTAACTCATATTTTTTGCCATATATTTCTGAGGAATTCTATATCCATCCATTTCATTTGACTTTTGCCAAACTTCTAATATCAAATTGCACATAAACAATATTTTAAAAACACATCTTAAAAATAAAATGCGTGTTATAAGAAATGAATCACAGTATTCATTTACTTAATCTAAGATGGCCTTGTCATCTTAGATGACTGAAAATATCCCACCTGGCCTCTGGGTGCTATTCCAGAAGGGCACGGGTTTTCTATCGGCTCTCTGTCTTACCAGTCAGCCCTGTGCAGATGACTTAGACACTCTGATGTATCTCAGATGACACTAGATACCCGTGTTCAGGTGCCTGAATCGTTCCCAAAGTGACTATTATATTAGGGTCTCTCCTACAAAAATTTTCCACCAAGCCGGTACTTATGAAGAGTCACATGCAATTGGGTTCGTGATTGTTAAGCAGGTTGTCAGCAACCAGGAAAATTGACATCAGTGTGTTATTTTGCTCCATTTTCCCACTCTGGACCTTGACCTTCTTCTGTCCTGTTTGTCTGGTATTCCTGTTCTTCCTCGTTATTAGAGCAGGCACCCTTGGTACATATGCTGGAGCCCATAGAGGAGCTTTCAGAAGAGGAGAAAGGTAATGGTTGATTCAGATCAAAATGTAGTGGCATGTTTTTCTTGAAAATAAAAGTGTAAATATTATTTGACACCTACCTTATTGTTCACTTTGTTTGAGTATGCTTATCTGATTTGGGTGGGAACAGTCCTTGTATGTGTCAATTTCCAGTTTGTTATTGGTGCTTGTAAATATTATGATTTTCTTATCCAAGTGCAATGTTTTTAAGGAAATTTGTATTTTTTTTTTAAGCAGGCATATTACGAATGTCTAAAGGCACTTTAGATAAGCAGAACAAAAATAATTGATGGAGAATACCCCCTTACTAGGAAATTCTGTGGTGTAATCTAGCGGTGGTGGTGCTATTGCTATGTATGCTCACTTCTTTTTCAAACTCAGCTTAAGAGGATAAAAAGTTCAGGTAGGGGAAGGAAGTTTGTGGTGAAGCAGAGCTTGAAGCTGTCCAATTGTCGACTTTAATAGATGCATCAAATGTCCTTTCACAAGTAAGTACGGCTACCTCCAAGCAGCCATAACTCCAGCCAGGGTTGTGCAATTCGGAATGAAATTCTGTAACCCAGTGTTGCAGCTGTTCCCCTGCTTCGTCTGAGGAAAACTTGGACAAGGCCATATTTGCAGTGACAGAACAAAAAGTATTGGTTCATCCTGAATGATGTTCTTCTCCTTGAGGCAACTAAAAGCTAATATTTTAGATAAAACACCAAATATCTGAATAACGTAATGAGCTATGCAGAGATATAAGTAGACATAAAAATCCTTCTCAAACCTTACAGCCAGTGATCATTCAAAGTGTCATTTGAATACATCTGGGCTTACAGGAGAGATTTTCCCAGGGAAAATCTGGTGACTGTACAATCTGAAATAAGGACTGCTCACATTTTTGTCGTTCTTTCTGCTCTTTCTCTTGCTTGCTATCTTCTCTCTTGATGGATTGTCTTTGATTCTTATGCTGTGCCTAAAGGCATACCCTGCAGTACAATAGAAAGAAAGAATGCAGTCTGAAAAGATAGACCAAGATGTTTTTGTTTTCAGTGACAGCCATTTGTAAGGGAGAGTGTGCAAATTCTTGATTTGGCAGAATATTTCATAAGCTTATGTAGGAGCTGAAACAGAAGACCAAACTGAAGGTCTCCAAAGGGGTCAAATCTAGGTTTTTTTAAAAAGAGAAATGAATAAGAAAACAGTTCTTTACATAGTAGGTCTCTGCTGCAAAGAGGATTTGGCTTAAGTCAGTTAGCAGGAATTTTTGGAATGAATATTGTCATTAATTAGGATAATGCTGTATAGTCTTGTTACCCATGTAAGTATGTAGTAATTATGAATTAAACAGTGATTTTAGACGGATCTGTTTTATTGCAAGGATTAATATCTCACATAGGCAGTATTTTCAGAAAGCTCTTTGGGGCTTGCTGTGAAAAATAAGATGTCTCAGGTTGGGCTTTTTGGGAGGATTTCACACTGCGTAAAGCACCTCTTCATGACTGGGGATAGCTTCATAGATTATAGCCCTGCCACTGCACACCTTCCACTAGTCTGTCTCTTCTAGGATTCAGCTCTCCAGCCAAGTCACTTTTAATCCCACCTCTGTCAGGGAATGAGTTGCGCACACAGTTCTCAAAACCAGATAAAGTTTCAGGCAGATACTATCCTCCTCAGCCCCAGATCACTTTGTACCATAGCTGGACTCTTTTTCAGTTTTCATTTCGTACAGTTCTTTCCAGGATCCATCAGGAGCAACTTGCTCAAAACAATCTAGGTATCCTTTATGTATTTCAAGCCCTTTTTGGATCCTCTTTTTTCTTTTTGATGAATGAAAATTTAAACTGAATGGAACTGCTTTTTAAGTAATCACTGTTTAAAAATAGGAAAACTAGCACATTTGTTTTGAAAGAAAACATTTTGGAAGTTACAATATGGAATCAGTCCTTCAGTTGTCTCCTTGTCTATGGGGTGGAAAACAACTCTGCTGCTCCATAGGGCATATTGGAAAGAGATAAGCTCCTGCCCAAGATTTCCCTTTTATGTTGGGGGGGAAAAGTGGGAGTGTGATTTACAGTATGAATTCTGGGATGTTGTATACCCCTCTACGTAGGATTTACAGCCTTTGCTGGCCACTACAGAACAGAAGCAATTAGCATGGTCCTAGAGGTTCTTGGTTCACTTGGTATAAGAAGTATCCAGTAATATTTCCATCTTGCAGGTTCCAGCTGGCAGTATTTTGCTTCCTTACACACCTATATGACCCTACAATATTTAGGCCTTACTTAGAGGTGAATCTTTAATTTAGGTGTAAAGATCTATCTAGATGATTGTTTCTTGTGTAAGAAACACAATATCTTGTGTTATTGATACTCAAAGCAAAAGAAGTAGAAACTCTTCCTCTCCTTTTAAGTGTGTATGCTGTCATAGACCTGCATAGAAGAAAATATGACCCTGAACTTTGTATTTGGAAGAGTTTTAAAGATAAGTAGTGTCAGTCATGTATATTCTGTAAAATGGTCTGTCTTAGACTAAGGATTTGTCCTAATAACATTTTTGAAAGTACTATGTAACTTTCTGATGATTTGGTCTCAGTAGGCATTTTTATCAGAGAACATTGCATTGAAGCAATTTTGAGAACGTCTGTCATATGCCTGTTTTAATTTCTGCTAGAATTTAGCTTTGATTTGAAATACTACTTTTAGAGAATTTAATTATCAGAAGATAGTCTTTGTTTATCAGAAGTTCCAAAGTGCAGTTCTAAAAGTAGTTCTTTGTTGTTAAATATTGAGGCATATATCTCTACAATGATTCTGTTACAGGAAAAAGAAGTAAGTCACTTACGATGGTGAGTACTAGGTGATAAGTTATAAATTCCAAGTAAGCTGACTTTTGTAAGCTAGCCCCAGATTTTAAAAAGAATACAACTCTGTGTAGACAAAAAGTACACACATATATCTGTCGTGTTTCTGTAAAATGCATGCTTCAATACAGTTTTTAAATGTCTCATGTACTGTGGATTTTTCAAATGTCTTTTAAAAGTAATTTTCCATTCTTATTTCAGAAATTGAGAAAAGTGATCATAAGACAGGCAGAAGTAACCAACATTTAATAAATGCTTTGAAGACTCATCCGTCTTTAACTAAAGAATTACGAGTTGTTTTAGAGCAAGCCCTGGAGGAGAAGCTGGAATCCTTGGGAATTAAAGCAGTAAGATTATTTTGAATTATGCAGAAGAGGGGAATCTTTGCCTCGCTTTTTTGCTCTTCTCTTTCACTTCTGTACTGCACCCCTCAAGCTAGAAACTTCAGAACTAAATTTCCAGCCACTGTAGATCAGTGTAATTCATTAACCTGAGAGATTTTCCATCAAATTACAGCAGTGGAGGGTATGGCCTCACCTATAAGCTGTGTTACCAACTTTTGTGATTTTGTCACAAGCTTTGTAATATTTGAATTTTTGTGGTTACTGTAAGAGTGTATATGGTTGTAGAATACAAATCCCACCTATATGTAAGCTCCTTTGCTTACAGCACAATTTGTTTCTTTAGGGTGTTCGTGGTATCCCAAATGATTGCTTAAATAGAATTTTACATGCTATTGAATCTGCTAGAGAACACAAACAGAAGGAAGAGCCTGACATTCAGCGAATTCGAGAGCATCTTGAACGCCAAGTCAGCTTTAGGATTGAAGAGAAATCATCATCTTATAATAGACTTGTTTCCTGTCCTCATCTTCCTTCAGAAGGTTAAAAAAAATTTGATTAATTTTTAGTTCTTAGGTTTTTTGAAAGCCTTTGTAAGTGTGTAATATAACTATCGTACTTAAAGGATTTTTAGATACATTTCGCGGTAGCTGCTTTCATAGGTTTTCACATAAATATTCTGTATAGTTCTGGCCAACTAAAGTATTTCCTTTAAAGAGTTCTTGTGATGTTCTGTTTAACTGCAGAAATATTGGCTTTTATAATCGGCAAGATCCACAGTCGCTTTGAATTACTTTGAAGAAAAAATTTTTTTCTTCTTTTTTTGTAACATTGTAATCTGCAGCAGTGACATCTTTCATTTTAGAAAGAAATCAGATTCTAATATCAAAGATTACAAACATTTTTTCTAGTACTGAGGTAGGTAACTTCTCTTGTAGATAAACAAAAGTTCAATCACTTGAGAATTTCCTCATCTGCAATACCACAAAAAACAGTAAAAAGATCTTCAACAGCTGTCCGCCCAGCTGGACAAAGAACAACCGTCGCTGAGAATACGTCTACACCAAAGTAAGAGATGCTATTTCTCCTAGTACTCTTACCACAGGTAACAATACTATGGATTTGTTTTTCTCCTCTTGCCTTATCATGGATAAGGAAACCGATGTGAATATTTCCTGCTAATATTATAAGGACTGAGCAAAGAATTCACATTACTTTTTTATAAACTTTCTGCTTATGTAGTTGACTACCAATCTTAAAATAACTTGTCTCATTGTTTTTAGATCCAGGAAGCTTTTTGGAGATGGAGTTTCAAAAAAGACGTCTAGTATCACGTATGTTTTGTTCCCTTGTGTTTTAGAAGAAAGCATTTTTGGTGACTCGATATTGATATGCTTGCAACATAAAAAAACAATTAGTTAAAATTATAAACACTTTCTGGACTGTATATTTCATGTCTTTTTAAAAAAATACTGTTCCATTTTAGTCTGTTGCTACAATCCTTGAAAGATGACACATGCTCATTTTCAACAGATATATTATCGTGAACCAGACGGGGACAAAATTAGGTAGTATCGCCACTTTTAGTCTCTTCCAGATGCTTTGTCTGAACCAGTTAAAAGCATTTAAACACTTTGGTGACCTTATTTTTTCCAGTATGTTTATAATTGTCTTACTATGACAATTACTATTACTTACAATTTCAAACTTATCAAGACAGAAATAGTTTGGGTCTGGTTCTTACATCTAATGACCAGCTCAACAGTTATAGTAACTTGGGAAACCATGCTGAAAAATTCCTAAATTATTTTATCTAACAATATCAGAACAGATTTTTCGTGGTGGAAAGTCCTTCGTCCTGAACTTTGCTCTCGCTGCTG